AAGAAAACAATACGAAAAACAACAAAAACACGGAAGAAAAACTCTTGAACAAAGAAACTTTCAAAAACTCGGCGTCCGAAGTTTGGGGTTACGGTAGCGTGCCCCTTTTAGTGTAGTGTAGTGCGTCGAGCTTTTGCACCACGAAAATTGGGTCGCTCGTGATTTTTACGCGTTTTACCTTGCGAGATGGGTTGGAGTTGACTGTATGTGCTCCAATGAATAAAATGTAATAAAGGAGAGCAGAATCATTCATGGGCACGAGCGCGGTCAGCAAAAAGGCATGCGATTCCGATTAATGCCCGCCGCCCCAACAAAGAACAACTGAGCGGCCCTCCGTCAGAGGGCATCTAGCAAGTGGGCGGTCCAACTGGGCGGGCGTTAGAACTAGAACTTTCAGCAGCTGTAGCTCGCTCCTCGCTCGCTGTGGAGTCGCGAGAGTGGGATAGTCTCTAGCTTAGCTATTTGCACAAGGAAGGGCGACCATGTATTGAACACGAGGGCTGTCTTTAAGGGAAGGGGATGAGGTTTGTGAACCAGTTATCAGACATGATAAGCTGCAAAGCGAGGGGTCACAGTGGTCTGGGACGCTATGCAGAGGAGAGGCTGTCGAGAAAACGATTTTTGGAGAAGTTAAAGTTCCCGTGGACCTTCCGTGCCACTTCATATCAGAAAAAGGCCTCTTGCAGTAACCCGCTTGGTAGATGGCTAATAGTAGTGTTATAGTTGACATGGTCGCCATCAACTGAGGCTGTACCAGGAGGGGTGGAATGAGCTCCTCCCCATCTGTCTTTCACCACTTGTAGTTGGCTAGGAGAAAACAAGCTCTAGAAAACACCGTGGGTTAGTTCTATGCCTCCTGACACCCCTTCGACATGCGACGATACCAGCGTATGTGCCCTTGAGGGTATCAGCTCTCATTGTTTCAAAATCCTATTTCCTTATGAGAGAGCTGTGACTGTCCCCATTACTTTTATGCAATTTTTTCAGGATCCACATACCGTCTCGATCAACGAAGCGACGAATTCTGCGCTATTCTATAACGTTGTTCTCGAAGCTCATTCACTTGCCACTGTTATAATAAGATAAAGTGATAATAATAAGTGATAATAAATAATAATAGCTGACAGCAAGTAATGACTAGCTGATAGTAAGTGAGCAACTTTCAAATACTTCCGAAGAGAGAGGGCGTCTCATAAAGCACTGTTCCCTACAAATTCCTTTGATTCCTCCCACCTCTATACAGGGGGGGGGGCAAAAAAAGTCATTCCGGCCGAGTCACATATGAGCGAAGTTTTCGCAGCCCAGACAGAGGAAGTGGATATGAGTACCAGGGCGGAAGATACCCAAGATCTTCCTCTATGAAGTCATCTCCAGTCGCGGCCTGAGTGGAGAACGCCTTTGGAATTCACGTGGCCTCCAAACAGCTGCGGAACTTCTTGAATGGAATCACCCATGGATAGCTACCTGGAGACCAGTACTCTTGATCTGCAAGACCTCAAACATCGAGCAGCTCCGGCAACGTCGCTACGGTCCAGGACATCATCTTCACCCCATTCACCAAGGCGCGGGTTGATGGTGTGGACCGGCCGTACCTGGAATGGATGAACCGATATTTTCTTCGTGGGCCCCAGACTGAGGGTGTGCGCTGGTGGCTACATCGAGCAACTCGAGGAGAATATCCCATCTTCATGTCGTCGCCCGTACCTTCTTGGAAACTTTGTACTGCTTCAGTGATTGTGCAAACATTAATCGAAGGCGTTGGAAAAACTTTCGCCTCTTGGGAATGGCAAGAAACTGAGTTAACCTGGAAAAGATGGAGTATTTAAGCGGGGTCCTGAACTAAACCCCCTCAATTACTCGGTTCGGGCGGAGCTCAACAGGGTGGTCTACAGTGGCGGAGAAATCAACGATCTCGCTCAACTCCGGTACCCACTCACTTTCGCGCCGGCCGATCTTCTCGATGGCGGCTCCTCCAGAAGGCTGTGGCGGAGTATCATTATAGTATTTAATGTGCTCTTTAATATGGTAGTAAAAATGTCCGATAAAAATTTAATAAAGTGTAACTTATAGCGCCTTGAAAGTCATGGAGGCAAAATGACTTTTTTTTGGCCCCCCCTGTATATGATGGTGCATGCAGCCTACGATGCATGCGTTAGGACATGAGACATCGTACCTTGTTGCAGCTGAAGGATGAAGGAGTCGGATAGCAGAAACGGAGAGGAAGCCTCTGAGGAGAAACATCAGAACAGTAGACGTCATATGCTTTTCAAGGAGAAGTTCACCATCTTCTTCATTTTTGTTGTTTGCGATGTCTTTAAAACGAGTGACACCTCGAATAGGAACGATGTTTCATCACTACTTTGCTGTAACCAAAGGACGTCTTAGTGACTAAGAAAATTTGTTCTTTCAGTACGGTCACCCTTCAGGCACGCCCTCCTACTCAAACGTTTGTTTTCCGACCAACATTCTACTTCCATCACCCCCAACTTTCAACGAAAAAAAAACGAGCAAAACCCCAACAGGAAGAACCGAAGGCGACAAACTTTACGGACTCCGCCCGAAAATTCCTGCTCGATTGCAGACTTCGATCCATCAGTTTGATGCAAATCCGGTACCGTCAAAAACATGGCAAATCGGCAACGGGGGGGAGGTCACTCATGCCCTCCGCGTCGCCGAACTGCGCCGAAACGGCTCTCTTGGTGAGAATTCCCCAGGTCTTTTCTTGATCTGCAGGAACGTCCTAAGAAGGACAGATGATCTTATACACTTCCCGACAGCTTCCACCCATCGAGTAGCCACAGATTTCTGACTAAAGATTTTGTTGTTAGACGATTACAAACAATTTTCAAATACTTTTATCATCATACCAAAGTTAGTGGTCGTGCCGGCCGCACCTTTAACGCGCATGAGTGACCTCCTTCCGGAGAATTTCGCAAGTCTGGGAAAATCCCATAGAATATCACGTCACAGGCTTGCCAACACACTAGTCGATAGTTATGGACATAGTTAACATGTAGTCATGCAAAATCAACCCATCAATAAATACGAATACAAAGCGCACAGTATGAGCATAAGTAGACAATGCAACTTTGAAAGACTAGAAAACGACAGCGATATCTTGAACGATGTAAGCATTGCGTAGATCCATAAAAAATCTCAAAAATGATCGGATAAAGTAAGTGAAACACTATAATTCGGTAGACTGAAGCGGCGGTGGAGGTGGTGGAACTAGCGTTCGGACGGCAGTTGCAGCGGGAGCCGTGGTGTAATAGGGGTTAATTTTTCTAAACGTGAGCAATATAATTCGACAAAAACGAAAAGTTGAAGTCGTGTTGTACTATGACTGTGTTAGGTTGACGACTTGAGCGGCAAGCGTGATGAGCAGCACCTTTGAGCGGTGATATCTTACCTCCAGTTTTTGCGAGCATAGGAATCGGCCAGTTGACCGACATAGACGCACAAACAAAGCAGCAATAGCAACACAACAGCTATCATAACACCGAACTGAAACGATGGCAAGTAGCAATTCTACAGAATCCGGACAGCAGCCTATCTCACTTATTATGAGTTCCGATCACACAAATATGTAATATGAATCATTAGAATCTCCATTCCTATGAGTTCTAGGGACTGAGCAGGTGCTCTTTTCTTTGTTTATTTTCGCAACGTTTACGGATACGACTGCACAGGCTTCTGTATCACTTATTCCTTGGGACGACGTTCAGCACTACCGGCAGACCTACTAAACTACCTCTTCTGACCAAAGGAAGAAACCCCGCTATAGCATATGTATTGTGGACAGTGGTGCTTAGTCACGAATTTGCAGTAGCTGTGTGATCTCAGGAAAAAAGCCAAAAGAGTCATTGAGAGTTCCATAAATAAGGACCCCTAGCAGCATCACTGCACCAGTCTTCCGGATCTACTAGTTTTATGCCAGCAAAGCTATATTGTAACCTCTGTTTCAGTTAGCGTCCCTTTGCGTCGTCCAATACTGACACATCCACCAGTGAAAAAAACGAAGTAACACGGCGTGAAAACTGAACTCATGGTAGAGAACAGCTCTGGTGGGCGGAGCAACTAGGGAGGCGTCAGAACTTATGAGGGTCGCAACACAGGGTCAGGTTCGGTACCACCTCGGGAAGCGCGTAATATAGGTCAACTTGAAGACTGCCGCACCAGACTACCCTGAACAAGAGGAAGCCTGCCAATGATTGGGCGCGGGGACTCTCAAAGGCAGAAGAGTCAATAGTGGTTGCACGGGCGAAGGCACAACTGGGTAGGAGCTGCCGTTGGTGCATCTCTCATGTGCGTCCTCATTATGGCCTCTGAAGGAGAAAGGTCTAGCAGTGAGGAAAGCGGAGACACTGCCTCTCTTCGCCAGTGGACACGAAAAAGCGAATGCGAATACGAATTTTATGTTGTATTATGTCGCAGACAATGACAATAAATTCCCATAACCAGTGGAGGTCTCTAGAAAAGCCTTCATATCCATTGCCTCTTAGTAGCCTACCTATTGCTCTCACCCTCGCGCTGTTTTCATTCCTGTTTACGAAAAAGAGTCGTTAAAGCCAAAAAATATCTCAACTTGCAACTTACAATGGTTGCCTCAAGAGCCTTTGATCCACTTACAGTCACCGGTTCAACGTCACGAAGACCATAAGCGTTGCGAAGTTCACGACGGGATGTGTTATTTGAAGACATCAGTTTTCTACAATTTCAAATGCCAATTAAATTGAAAGCATGAAAACTGACTAGTTATTCTGACTATGTATTTCATTTATACTATATTACATTATTTACATATTATACAGTGGCGATCCCCGGCCGCGTTAGATGCCCCATTCGGTCACATGGATCACCACTGTATATTATCTAGTCTTGTTAAACTTTCGTCATTCACTTTTTCTTCACTGAGTGAATGAGTGGCAGACATGTAGTGTTTTACCTCATAGCTTTCTCCACGGGAACGAATTCTCCATTGTTATCCAGAAAGTGAGTCAGGATGACCGTGAAATTTGTATTTTGGCGACATCGATCAACCACAGCTGTCAATGAAGTAGCGTTCGACAACAGTCTGAAAGCAAAAGTCTGAAAGTAGACTGGTATAATGTTATATCATAGGCTTATTTTTGGGAGGAAAAATTCGTAGTGGTATGAGAGTTGCGATTTAGTGACACAATACTGGTAAGAAGTAATGTGAGAAGAAGTAGCGCGAGTGTAGGGCAAAGTGGGAGAAGAGAATCGTGAAATGCCGCTTCGTCGCGCGCGGCAATGGGCGCAGCGTTTTCTTAATTTTCACAGCCATGTAGACAAGAACACGGCGGACACTTATATCTATTTTTGGTAATACGCAGCCTATTCTCGTCCAGTACCACCTAAAATCGTCGTCATTAGCGGGCGTTGACAATCCGCCTACACGCGACCACGTCCACGGGCGAATTACGCATTCTCTTGCCACGCACGCCGGGCAACGTTAGCTCTTGAGGTAGCTAACTTCAGGAATACGGGGATATCGGATATCGCCTTGGCCCTAATATTTGCTGTTGGCGAGAAACACTGGCCCAAACAATACACAAACATAGACACATTTTCATTTTGGTTTTCATAACCATTGACCAGTGGACTATGTGAACCTTTCTGTGCGCCTCTTTCACGGCGTACTCTCCTAGTTCAACCTGTCGCTTGGAACTGAATGACTGAGCTAAAAGTCACCTCACGATATTCTTCTGGTTTCGCTTGATGAAATCGTACGGAGCATCGAAAAGCAACTCGAATTGTTGCGAATATGCAACGACGGAGATCTAAATAAAGAAACCGTGTGAAGGCTAAGGAAGTGACTGTAGGCTAAGTGAACGACTAAGTGCCTCAGAAAGTACTGAAGAGCTTACAATGACATTGGCCGAGTCCTCATGACCAACGCCGTCGGTAACGGTGGCAGTAAACGAGTAGGTGGTCTCGCGCAGCCCTTCGTTTGCCGTTAAATCTCCAGTCTTTGCATCAATTGATATTGGCGAATCGGCAAGACCATAGCTCTGAACAAGAAAACCGTCATGAGGATGGGAGAATAACATTTGTTAGCCTAGATGAAGTCTGGGAGGGAGGTGATTAAACTACCGAACCTGTTTTGGCGTTCTAACAGCTCCCGATATAGCATAACGAAGTCCTTGTTTCTCATCATCGGGATCATTTGCAAGGACTTTTGCTAGATGACTGCCTGGCGATGCTTGTCCCTAGAATGGAGCATAACGATGTAACGAAACAAAGCGAAGACAGGGGTAAATGTTCAACTGGAAAGTGTGCTGCCTATTGGCACACTGGTGAATGAATGGACAATATGGTCGTTTTCTTTGCAGACGGTGGGGCGTGTAAGGGGTGCTGGGGCTGGCGCGGTCTTTGGCCCAATTCCACCAAATGTTGTCCCTAAGCCGCTCCAATGAAAACGGGCCGACGAAGCGCCAAGCCCAGCCCCTCCAACCCTTGACACGCTGCAGTATCTGTAGTGAAAACAACTGAAAATATCCCTTCGAAGATCAACATATTGTGATCCAACCAAGGAAATGCAATGGCTGAAGCATCTCTTTTCTTCAACTGATTCTTGTTTTCTTTCATTTCTCTTTATTATCATTACGAATACTTCTTTTCGGTACCTGAACAACAGTGAAGTGGTATGACTTCTCGCTGAATCTCGGAAAGTTGTCGTTGACGTCGCCGATCGCCAACACCACAGTAATTGTTGAATTCACAGGTTTGCTAGGATCGCGACATGCTAGCTGACAGTCGTAGGCAATTACCTAAAAACAGCTGGACATTAGCTGGCATACCAGAGCCCTAATATAGACAAGATATGAGTCTAAGCGACTCGTATCTGAGGACGCAGTCAACCCTGGTTGCACTGATAGAGCCAGGTACCACTATATCTTCTTCATTGGGGGATTATTGCCAGAGATGTATAGAGAGCGCGCTAATGAAGAGTACAGAGCGGTACAGTCCTCATCGTTGCGGACTGTCGAGGCGGCTGAGCCGCGCTGCACTGTGACGCGACAGCGGCTCGGTGACGGCGAATCAGCTGATTTCCATGGAATTCGGCTGCGAATTCCCACTTTTTCAGCTCTTCAAGCTTCGAAAGTGGAAGGTGAGTTATTTTGAACAATTTTGAATTGTACTGGCTCTGATTTCCTTTATTTTTATGTCTATTATGCTCTTTTCCTTGTATTTTGCCTTATTTCAGGCATTTATTCAAATGGCTTGCATTCTTTCAGATTCATTCAGAGCCAGTACAATTTAAAATTGTTCAAAATAACTCACCTTCCACTTTCGAAGCTTGAAGAGCTGAAAAAGTGGGAATTCGCAGCCGAATTCCATGGAAATCAGCTGATTCGCCGAGCCGCAGCCGCTGTCATAGTGCAACGCGGCTCAGCCGCCTCGACAGTCCGCAACGATGAGGACTGTAGGACTGACTGTACATGCAAAATCACCGTCAACATGATTTACAAGCAAGGCGTTGGTGGAAGAAATTTGGAAAAAAATTGTTACAAATGTAACAGCCTACGCTTGCTCAAGATGTTCAGGAACCGCTTAAATATATGAGTAGTCATAACGGCACAACGATTGCCCTTCTCAATAATCAACGGCTTGATAGATTTCAGTTGAGAAGATAACTTTGAAGGCAAGATCAAGAAGTCAAATGGCAAGGCATCTAGGGTGAATACGCCTAGCCGGAAGAATATCGTGATTCCGAGCAGAGGCTGGTGGCGCCTGTCCCAATCAAGGGCGCGATTACAGCGCCTAACCAAGGTGAAACATGCCGGCCCTAACGCCCTCCTACAAATGGCCGGACAGTCCCATCGATGCTGGTACTTTAATCTCCATTTGTGAAGTACAAATGACACTAAGCGTTGTTACATGGATATATGAATAAATACTGCAACCGTATCTATCAAAGCGGTGTTGGCACGGCGCCAACGGGCAAACTCGTCCAAAAATCGTCCAATGCCGTGGAGAACAAAAGATTTTTGCAGGTTTCTGGCCGTTTGGCTTCGCTTTTTCGTCATCCTCCCCTACTATGTAGCATACCTGCTACTGTTTTTGAACAACTACCAAAGTATCGTGCCTTACGTCTCCAAGTCAATTACTTGAAGTCGAATTTCCTTGCTTTGTTCTCGATCGAAGCTTTGATTCGTGTACAGAATGGGATGAGTTTGGTTCAGAAAGAAGAAAAGCGGAGAATCAGTGGTGTAGCAGACCTGAAATACTACTGCTTTACAATTTTCAACGTTTTAGTAGCAACTGATTTTTTGAAAAAAAATTGAGAACACCGGAAACTTATGATTGCAGTCAATATGCTGAAAAATAAACATTGCAACAGAGCGTGTTCTAGTATATGCGACTGACTTTCAGATTTCATGAACCTTGTGCTAGTCAGAATCTGGAGGTTATCGGATAGAGAGTCGATTCGAGTAAAAGTGACGTTGCTGACTGAAACGTTACAGTATGCCGCTAACTGGCAGGGCAATGCCGCGCGCGTCACAGCAACTGCTCCGCGCCCTATTCTGGAGGGGGGGGGGGATTGCTCTGAGTGGGCTGTTTGGGCTCGAGCACAGTGGTATGGCTTTGCAAAATGTTCACTTCATTCAGGCTTCATGGAAGTCATGTGGATATGGTAATTATTTTACAGTAGAAATCTATGAGAAGATAGCTCATTTTTGAGATTGGCTACTTTCATTGTGACATAAGGGAACGGTACAGAACTGGATGTCGGCAGAGATGAACTGTGCATTTCAGGGGAGAACCCACTAACATTTAACGCACCTTAGTAGGGTTGGATTCTTATTAAGGTGCTTGGGGGGCATGTTGCTAGTTCTCATCTATCACTACCACGATGCCACCTTTAGAACACTGTAGATCCCTGCAAAGCTATGCAACAGGCAACTGCAGGAGCTTCCTCACATTTGAAAGGGTCTACAGGTCTCAGCATAGTGTGATATGTAGTTCTACAGGAACCGGCGAACATGCTAAATGCTTCTCTTAAAGACAGTTGGCACGATAAATCCCTAAAGACGAGTAGGATTAATATGCCTGGCGGGACGGAATCCGCGTCCCTAAAGGCGCTAGGCGCTGCGTAGCGCCCTTTCCAAGAGAGGTGCCCTTATAAGGGCCCTATCAAGCTACAACATACCGACCCGAACGCCCACCACGCCCGCCCGCCCACAAATGGACGAACCGTTCCT